CCATTGGACAACTGGAGAACGACGTTGCTGGATACGTATGCTGTCAATCACAAAGCAGAAATTCTCATCTGATTCGCAAGGTTTCATTTTAGATATAATCTAGAGAAAATTCAGTTGCTTTCAGACGTCCAAAATCACTTTTTTTTTTTTTGTTCATAAAACGAAGCATTAAGCCAAGTTCCATAAAAATCGTGAGAAATATTAAGAATAAGAAAAAGTCGGGAGAAATATATTGTAAATCGGGATGGCGGGAGAGCGGTCGAAAATCGGGAGAGTTGGCAACTCTGAGCAACAGTCTTCAGGCTATAACGGTGAAGGCAGCTTCAGGATAAAGCATTAGAGTACAGTTCCCGACTCGGTTCGATCGTTTTCAAAAAGATATATTCGATAGCCTCACCGATGCACTAACTCACAGTACGCTGACGAGACACCTCGACACTAAACTGCTATTTATATAGTTTTTTGACTTGCCTTCGATAACATTCTGGGCCAAACCGGTAAGAATTTGTTCCAGAATGTTCTCCATCTGTCTAAGGCATATCGTCAATTTTGTCGCCAAATATGGCAACCTTGCCTTCCCTTGCCATTTCCTTTTATTTCATTCTTTTCCATTTCGCCTAAACCCACTTTGGGGGAAAGCTATTTTCCCACGGCTGGGCATTTCATAATAATATTGGGGAAAGTGCAGAATCACCCATTACATGGCACAGTTTTAAGAACTGCACTAACTCAGTACTGTCTGTCTATGGTAAGAACAGCTCTCGTCAGTTTGTCTGCAGCTGTCTGTTGCCGTAGAAACGACCCTGACCCATTTTTCGTAGGGGTGTCTTGAAGATTTACTTCTCAGTTTGCCACCTTGGCGTATTTAAAAATGATTTGGCGATATTCACATTTTGTTTTAGTTTCAAATAAAATGCTCGTTGACCCTTTATGTTGACATCGACATCCAATTTCCGAAAATGAAAATTCGATGGCGTAGATAAAGCTTTTGCAGTCAAGAAACAGTCTTTGATTTTGCCGTGTGAGGTACAAGTCGCTGAATTTGCCATCCCTCTAGATGTACAATGAGTAAAAATATATCAAAATAACTTGTAAGGAAATAAATTTAAAAATCCGTGCTTATTATTATTACATTTAAAAAAATCATGTTATTATTTTGTTTCTTTTTTGTTTATTTGTTTGCTTGCAAAATATTCTAAGATGTCATAGATGACATCTTAGAATCTACTTGATTGCCCATTCTCTGTAGTATAGTATAGACGCACTTCAAAAATGTAAAATAAATTAAATTTTTACAGTTCTGCCCTCTGGCTAATCTACTGTGAACATTCAAAGCAATTTCTTCAGTCTTTAAATGACACTCTGCTATGTTTTTATTTCAAAATTTTCTGTTAGTTTATTGCTTCTGCTTTAATAATGAATAAAAATTTCATCATTAAATGTATATGGAATCATCTGAAAGTAAAACGTTTATTTACATATTCATGCTATCAATAAATACTTTTTGCGAACATTTCTTCTTTTCCCATACCTTCAAACTAAACCAAAAGCTGGTCAATTTAATGGCGAAAGGAAGCGAAGGTGAATTAAAATTAAAACTGCCTTTTCCTTAACCTTTTGAAGACGGGATGGCCATTATAGTGGCCATCTCTTTGAAAAGATGGGGTTGTCCACTTTAGTGGCCATGTCTTTTCCCCCCATTTTTCAGGCTGAAAAGTGGGGTGAAATGTCAATTTTGATATCCCTAAGGTTTTAACGATTTATCTCTTGCAAAGGTCGTCTTCCTTTTGCGACATATATGCATCCCTCTGAGAATCCATTAATCTACACACAAGAATCTTTGTTGCAAATAGGAGGTGATTTCTTAAAGGGGGGAAAGCATTCGTTCAAGATTCCCCATCCTTTGGTAGCTTTTACTGCTACCAAAGCCCCAGCCTCAAAAGGTTAATTACAAGTGGTTTGGGTTGGTTTATATGATTACGGAAAGCCTCCAGGGTTAAATGCCTAAAAGGAGGGATGCCTTTGTGGAGGGCTTGCTAAGGGAAACTGGCTCTATACACGTTACACATAGGGAAAACTACCAAGCAGGCAGCCTGTTCACAGTATTAAAACCTCAGGCCAAACTACCAGTGTTCAGTGACTTTAACGATCAGCCGCTCCTGAGCCTCTTAATTACCAGCGCCCATTTATGTATTATGCTGCTTTTTATAGACTCTGTAATAGCTAGTAACATAATAAAATGTTAAAATCAGAACAAAATTAAGGTCTCTTAAATTATTCATTTACCTATTTTATATTTAAAATTATACGAAATTTATATAATCATACAAAATTGACTTTTATAACTGCAGTGAGCTTTGTTGCATTAACGTAATTTTGCGTTAATATTTTCATAATAAAACAAAACTTATTTAATTTTCATTAAAGATTAAAAATTATATTTTAAGCAAATTATACCATGGCTTGTGGGTCCCCAAGAACACAGTAATGGGAAATGAAGCAACCATGCAGTGTTCTTTATTATCCACAAGGGGGATTTCGCCTCAGCCGAAGGCTCATTGTTGCCTACTTTGGTAGTCTTTCATTTACATAGTGGCAAAGTAAATACTGAACCTAGAAATATCGTCATAACTTGAGAGAGCTATCAGGTGAAGAAGAAGGATGCCTTCGTGGAGGACTTTTATAGAGGTATAACATCTGAAAAGTCGTCTTAATCACTTTCGCAAGATTCCGTTTCTTCTGAATCAGAATCGCTGCTGCCAGTTTGAATTATTAATTCATCCACTATTTCTTCTAGAAGTCCGTCCTTGTCCCAATTAGAATTTTCAAGTTTTTCTACGTGGTTGCAGTGCATCTGCCATTCTTGAAAAGTGACTTCATCCAAAGCTTTTTGTGTTGAATTTTTCAAATTTTCCAAGCTTAAGTCCCCATTCCATAACATTCCTTTTCTGATCAGTCTTTTAACTGATGACCAAACATATTCAATTACGTTTAGATCACAATGGTAAGGTTGACGCACAACATGATGCCCATTTTCTTTTATGGTGTTGTCAATTTTATAGATTACTTTTTTAGGACAATTGCATTCTATTAAGTTAAACAGTTCTGCTTTTCGCATCTTGGAATTGCAGCATATCGTCGTCTTCTTCAGCCAATTTACCATTGTTTGCTTTGTAGCATATTTTGTGGGTGTCGGATCTTCAATTTTTGTGTGATACAAGGCATTATCCATGCATACCACACTTTGGGGTCGTAAATTTGGAAGAAGCTTTTTCAACACCCATTTTTTTTTTTATATTTCCATAGTTGATTTGCCCATGGTAATCCCTGCTTTGAGCTGATGCTTTATATACAAGTTGGGCAACTGGAATAAATCCTGCGGAAGAGCCAGCACGGACAACAATCAGTTATTTTATTAACTGACATTTATCTGTGTGCCCAAAACTGTATCATGCTGCCAACATTTCTTAAAAGTTAAATTGCTGTCAATCCATGTTTCATCGATGTAAACTATGTGGCGTTAATTTGCCTCAAGTTTCCTCATTTCGTGTAAATAATTGTTCCTCCAAAACATAATGTGAGGTCTTTTGATAAGAATGCATTTCTTCCAGCAAAAATTCATTGAACACAAAACTTTGCACAAAGAGTCTTTGCCACGGGAAGCCTATTTTTTTGCCTCGATAGGCAGTAATTTCTGCACAGATGGCACTTTCTTTTCTTTGATGTAAAAGTCTTGTATTGTCTGCCATATAACGCATTTGTCAAAATCGTCAATTTCACACTTATGATTAGCAGGGCTTTTACGTTTCTTTCCATGTGTATTTAGAAGTTTATTTTCACCCATTGTTGATACTTCGTGCTTAATTTTTTTTTAATTGTATACTCTGATACTCCAGTAGCTTGCAATGTTCTCTTCAAAACTTGAGGAAGAGGAACTACTAAAGAGTTCGCCAAAGCTTCAGAAGTGCAAAATTCGGCGACATTGTACACGATTTGACGTGCCTGAGACTTTAAAGGTTGACCTTTCCTTAAACTGGAAGGGCATTTTAAAAAATTGGCGATTAACAAAGCAGTACAAAAATCAAGCTAAATAGAAACAAATTTAAACAAATACCAGTACAAAAGATATAACAACGAGAATAAAAATAGCTAATAGTAATAATATAAGGCTTAAGAAAAGATGAGTGGAGCTGGAGGGAACTGTTCTTACTGTAGACAGACAGTATCCATGTACACATCGACTTATTTTCACTTCAAAAAACATCAGAGAATTGCACAAATTCAGCATTGCGCACTTCCTTGACTTTTTTTATGTACATATCGATGTATTTTTCACTTAAAAAGTCAAAAGAAATTGATAAAAATCCAATTATTCTTATTCTTGTAAAAAGTGCCAAACATAATGCGCCAAATAAGTGGGTGATTCTGAACTTGACCCACAATATTTTACATCTCTTTTCCTTTTTTAGCACATCAGCACCTGGGTATATAGATCTACTTTTAAGTACAAATTATGTAACATGCATAAAAAAAGTTTGTGGGATAGTGAAGAACTTTTAAACTTTTCCTGAAATTACCAACTAATTAGATATTTAAAATTGCACTGTATTATCACAATTACACTGTATTATCACAAGCAAAAACTATTCATTTAAATCTAAAATTACAAGCATGCATTTATTCCATTGTGGTTTATGCGTTATCGACGAAGTAGACATAATTCAATTCAATAAGTTTCAATGAAATGCAGAGAAAAAATGCATATTAATTTAATAATCTGTACAAGGATCAAATTTTTTTATTAGATAATCATGTTTAAATTCATTTTTCTATTAATTTATCCAAACTACTGAACTTCTTTAGTTTTCCAATTCCTGTTCTGCATCCTTAATTAAAAATTAACAGATAAACTTGAATTTAAAAATTAAAATATCAGATATAAACAACTTCAATAAAAAAAGTAAGATTAAAAAAAATAATAATAACAAAGTGTTACTAACCCAGAATACAATGCTTTCACGCCTTCTTCTTTAGAAATACGTAGAAGGGCATGAATCATGCCCTTATATTTAACTTCCCTAAATCTGGCATCTGATACTTGACCTTGCACTTGAAGGCGAGTCTTTGTAGTGTCGATGGGAAAAGTTCCTTTAAAGGAAACAAAGAATTATCTTTAAAATATTCAAGTATAGTCAGAATTTTTATATAAGAGAAAGCACAAAAATCAATATATTACTCCAATCACATTTTGAATTTGAATTAAATCTCACATTTTCAATTTTGGTATTTACCAAATCTTAGTATTTTTCAATTTTAGTATTCATCAAGTGTTCAGATTTGGTATTTAATTAAAAAACTATCACATTTTAGTTCATAAATGACAATGTATAAATGATCACTTACATTTCATTATATGAAATTAAAATATCTAACTCTCATTAACAACATACATGATAAAAAACAAAAGTTTATAATAGGAAGATGTCTTAAAAATTATAAATTTAAACCACTAGTATTGCAATCAGCCATCATCTTATGCAGAGTAAATAATCTGGAACCACATTATTCAACAAAATAAATTTTCTTTTGATTTTGTACAAGACAGAGAGGCAGATACAAAAAACTTTTTAAATGCTTCCATGAAAAATATGATCAGACTTAAAATCAAAGTTCCTTCCAAAATTTCTGCATCAAAAGTTATTTTTTGGCTCGAATTGAAGTCTTACATTGTCAAGTTTCTTCCAATTAAACCACCATAATGGCTTAATTACTATTATGGCATTAGTAAGTATTACGACTAAAATGGCATCTCAAAAGAAGATTAAAAATTATATTGTAAATAACATCTGTTATATAATTTTGATAATACTTTGGCCCATTTTCAAATTTTATTTACATATGCTGTCCCAGAAGAAAAGAAAGAAAATTCAAGATAAATTAATATTTAAAGTTTAATTTGAGCAGTGCATTACATAAGATGACTATAAATATATTTCTACAATTTAAAATATTTTTTAAAAAATCAATTGAATTTTTTTAGATATAAATTTAGAAAATCAATAAAAATAATTCATCTTTCACTTTAAGTCAGGTTGGTTACCTTGAGATTATTTTACAGTGACGTAGATAAAAGCTTGATTAGTTTATCTGTGTCACTGAATATGTACTGCTCCCTTTAGGCAGATTTACATACTAATTATGGATAAAATAATCTCAAGGTAAAGGACTTGACATGAAGTGGAAGACTAATTATTTTTATAGATTAAAAAAAAAAAAAAAAAAAACTTCTTTAAGTTTTATTATGAATATAGCACACTAATGTGCAGGAGTCTGTTATTTCTCTCTTTCAGCCTGAAGGAGGAGTAACATTAATGTGCCTCAGCTCATGGCAGATCATTTAGTCATTTAGTGGCAACAGGAACAAGAATCTTAGTTTAAGAAAGAGCTAACCTGCTACTCTGATTATGTGTCCGTGATATCTCAACTGACTGACTGTTTTTAGTTTCAGAAAACTGTATTTGCTTTGTGAATGCTTACATCCCGAGTCAAAGTTTATTTAGGCATGTTACTTTGTATTTCACACTGAATTTGACTTCAACATTTGTTTTACATTTCCTAAAAAAAATGGCTACTGAGTTTCTGTTATTCATTTAGTTTTGAGTAACCGTCAGGTTAAAGATTTAATAAATATGTTTATTTCAAACCTTCAGCTTGCATCTGTAATTATTGTAGTCAGAAGATGAGTCATATAACTGTTTTAAAAGTTCCAGTAGTTTGGCAATTTAAGGTAATGCTGAAACATACATAGGATATTTAATAGTGCTTGGAAATAATGCAGGCTTTAGTTTAGTCCCTGAGAGTTTGTCCATAGGAGATATACCAGCAACTGTCATAGAAGGTTCTGGGTATCTGCTAGATGCCATGCAAGCACTGATGAAACTAGCCATTAATTCTAATGGTACAAGCTTAGATTCGAGGGGTTTTTGGGAGAGAAGCTTGAGAGTCATTTTCTCCTGCACCCAAGAGGAAAGCAAGAAATGGTTGGGATAGCAGGATCTGCTAGCAGGCTCTGAACCGGTTTGAAAAAGTTAATAAAAGTCTGTCACATGAAACTGGACAAAAACTGAATCTATTAAGTTCCCACTGGTTACAGAATTTCCCATAGCAAGAGATACAGTCTTTTTCGAAGCCAGAATTATTCGGGAAATATCAGATGGTAGGATAAGAACAGATGACATTTGTATTATACAGAGTAGAAATTATTAAAAAAGCTATTTATATAGAAAGAAGTTAGATACTGAGGTAATACAATTGACTATGCTCATTGTTTTCACAGAAAAAGGACTTTGTGTAGAATTACAGAATCTCAGTAGACTGCAAGAATAATTTAAACTTGCAGTGATATACCAGTTGTAGGTTGGCTGAAAATAAATATATGAACAGATATATTGACGAGTTCAGAGGTATATTTGGTAAAAGTGAAGGAAAACTGAGAATGAGGCTCAAAGAGTCAAGCTCATTAATTCAATACAATCATTTTCACTGAATTTGTGTTCATCTAGAACAAATATGATCTTGTTTTCACTTAAAACTTGATACCTAGAATTATCTGCATTGAAGTTTAACTTCTGATTGATTCTATTTTCAAGATTCCTTTATTCATTTCCAACAAACCATCTAATTCTATAATACAAACCATCTAATTCAAACTTGTATTTCTGATACAGTCAAAAGTCGTTAATTCGGACACCCATAATCTGGAATGATCTATAATCCGGACCTCAAAGCTGCAAACGTTTTGCGCATGCGTAGCTTTGACGCATGCGCGTAAGACCTTTACGGCTGCAAATATGTTTGCGCACGTGCGCAAAATAAGTTTACGAGTGTGCGTTTAATGTATAACGGATGGTATAAGCTAAGCTAAAATTATCTAATTATCTATTTCAGTTAATGTTGCAGATTGCGTTGTTCCTTAATCTTCGAATTTGATCCGGCTTATTATTTTTTGCAGACTGTTAGAGCAATCTTATAAAAGTAAGCTTGAACTTTTGATTATGTCAAATAGAATTTCTCATATATATTTATTAATATGTAAAGGATCTACAAAGAGAAAGTATGTTTCGAAGTTCATTAAACAAAAAGTGGAATTGCTACAAAAAATGGATAAAGGCATATCCTTTGTTTAACTAAACTTTAACGTTTGTTTATCTAAACTTTGTTTATCTTTAACACTGCAGCGCGCAATGAATTGGAAGTTGATCTGTCAGCACTATCCTTATCTTCAGGGCAGATGTTTTTATTTTATTTGGCTTATAATTCCTTACTAAATGTAGTATTTCATCTCGATGTACTCTGTCTTTGATATGATTTAAATCAAATTCCTCGTCATTATAATTCGCTTCCGATAGCGAAGAAAGTGACAGAGGTTATTGAAAACGAAAAAATTTCGATTGACAAATTAGTCAGTAGACACAGCAATTATAGGACTTGAACAGCGGAACTTTGTAACTGAACAAGAAATTATGTCTGTTTATAGAATTAAAGAGAATGTATTATCACATAAAAAAACGAAGCAACTTAAACAACTTACATTGAAAGAAATGTTTAATAAAGTAAACAAATAAATATTAAGCTTTTTTTTTGTGTAAATTTTGATACCCTTTAGATCATAATTGTTCTTTATTTCATAAATTACGGTTTCATATTTTTACTTTTATAATTTCTGCATGCCATCTTACCAGATTTAAACTGATGATCTATAATCCAGAAAAATCGATAATCCGAAATCGCCGAAGTCCTGACGAGTCCGGATTAATGACGTTTGACTGCATTCATTATAATATTGTTCAGTTTCATAAGAGCTTCCTCTTCCTTTCCCTCTCCTCTCTCACTTTAAAATTAGATCTCAAGACAAGGTAATAAAGATTTTATTTTGTTTCTCATTTTAAACTATTTTAATTTTAAATTCTGTAACCATAACAATTTGCTAGAAACAAATACCCCCCCCCCGAAAAAAAACTGATAATTGCATTTCACTATGCACCTTCATTTTACATTGTTAAAAAATTTTGGTTAATCTTTGGATTATGGTAACTTGGTGATTTTTTGGCAAAAATTTGGTGACAAACTCTGCTACAGCAACCCTCTATTTTTTTTTCCCCCCCGCCACCATTTTGTCTTCACGAAGGCATTGCGCACACTCTTCACTATATCCATGTACACTGCTTTTTTCTCATAAATTAGAAAAATTTCACAAAAATGCATGAAAATTTTGTGAATCTTTAAATTCGGTAAAAAGGACATATACGAAATTACCTGATCACGAAAAAGTATATACCTTTCCAAGGATGAACATTTGCACGTATAAAATAAATAAAATATCCAAAAATTTTACCTCTAAATTATCTATTATAAACGTCACCAATGAATTTATAATGCAAGCATTAAAAATGGTTGCAAATACTTAGTGTCAAATATTTAAATTATTTCCATGCACGTTTACTTCCACTGAAACGTATACCAAATTGCTACAAACATATAATTCACAAAATAATTAATTACAAAATAAATCACAAAATAAATAATTAATTTAATTAAAATATAATTAAATTAAAAACACTACTTAAAATATAAATAAGCACATACATTAAATTAATAAAAATTAGCTTACATTTCTAATTACTTTAAACTAAATCATTGCTAATAACAATTTTCCAATAATACCATATTAATTTATTTACTCCTTACATTTAGAACAATGCATAAATATAATAATATCCTCAAATAATTAAAAATACTAACTTACCTAATCTTCTTCAGAATCTTTATTACGTGGCGGATAAACTTTTCTTATTTCCTCCACTAAATAAAAAGCAATCGTATATGTGCGCCTGTTTCAGGATCTTTGAACTGTAAATAATGTAACCAATTTTCTTCATAGTATTTAGGTTCAACAGCAAGATGTTGAAAATCCTTCATCCTCCAAACAAGACATAGGACTTCCAGCAATCAGATATTATTGTACCAGGTAGAATATACTGCTTAATAAAACTTAATAAGCAATCTTTACTTCTATCTCACACAACCTTAAAAAAAACACTTATTACTACCCCTTTCAATCAATCCCACTAAATACCCATTTCGAATTCGCTTTAGATAGGGCCATGAGATCCAAAAATTAACCAACAACTGTTTTCACACAACACAGAATGAAGCTAAATACAAAATTTCCTCCAGATTTTTTCCAGATTTCCCCCCCTTTTCCGATTAAAGAACTGTAATTCGACCATTAATGTCACATGACATATCTCATGATCTCTCATTTCCCTCACACAAAATAATGCGTAATCGGAACTGAGTACTTCTCACATTATTCCCAAAGTCCTAGGTAGTAACTTTTATCGCCTACCAAAATGTCGCCAAACTAACTGTTACCATATTCCAAGGATTAGCCAAAATATTTATTACATATTTTCAAATGCTTGCATTTTACTTACACAAATAAAAACATATCTTCAAAGCAAATAACTTACCAAATTCTGCAGCAATTGATGCAAGTCCTCCATATGCAAATGGTCTCCAATCTCTATTGACCATTGTTCAATACCACACAATTATAGTTTGAATGCTGAGGTCTGATGATTTGAAACACCCCAAAAATTTGTTCTTATGGAAATATATTTGTGACTTAAATAAACACAATTCCTATAAAGAAAATAATATATATTAAAAGAAAAAACTAAATTATATATGATAAAAAGACCAGGGTGATTTACAATGAGCTTATGTAACTTCACATAAAACTAAGTTTTATTAAACAACCATACTCATTACTTATAGTGATAATTCCTAATATAAAAGTTACATACCAACTTTCTTAAATCAACAGAGTTCTAGCAGTAAAATAAAATAACACGAAGAAAACATTACTGTAGATGATATAATCTGTAGTTAATATTAAATTGCCACTTTAATCAAATTGTGCTTATTTTTTAACCTTCTTATAGAATAGTATTAGCATTTTCAATGATTAACCTATCAAAGTAGTCAATACTTCATAACTTACAAAAACGATGAATTTCAAATAACAATTCTATTCATTGATTTCTACTAAATACACATTTATTATATTACAAGACTTTTTTACTTAAGTCTTGAAACTAACTCAGAAATTCTGCACCTATCTGAGATCTCTTATTTCAGCCTATTATCAAAAATCACTACCATAACACAGAATATATTATCCACACACGAAGAGTAAACACCATATAAAATCGAGTTACTTTTAGCAAGCTTAAGCTGTAACATTAAATTATTATTTAATTAAAGTCATTAAAATGCACGTGATGTGTACAAAATATTTTATTTCACCTTAGAAAAAAAATGGTACCTCAGGATATGTCATTAATCCATTTGAAATCCCTGGACATACACAAAACAAACTTTATTATAAATAAAGGGAAAATAATTAACCCATTCTTATAAAAAATCCTACTGTTATTATAACATTATCTCATACTAAAAGACAAAAACAGTGAGTGAAATATATACTGTACATACAGTGTCTCACAAAAGTGATGGGACACTTGTGCTTTACAAAAGGAAACTGTAATAAAATAAATTAAAAAAACATGTAAAAATTTTTTGTGTGTGTGTTTCATACTTAAATTTAGTAACAATTATTATATAACATACATTTTCTCAAAATATTAAAATATTAATTTAATAAAAATACAATTGTTTAAAACGTCGCAAAAAATAGCTCACATAAGTGATGGGACACCATTAGATACTGCTATGTACTACAATAAAAATATTTTTTGGGGTTTTTATTTTTACTCAAAAGCAATTGGCAATAATTTAAATCGTCTGCAGTATTTCTCTCCAGTTTGTTTTGGAATTTTTGTGTTTTTTAGCTCTGTGCAGCTATGAATGCTAAACGAAAAGAAACTTTGGCTAATCTTTGGAATATGGTAACAGGTAGTTTGGCGAGAGTTTGGTAAGGCGATAAAGGTTACTAGCTAGGACTTTAGCTGTGTACATGGATAAAGTTAAAAGAGTGCGCAATGCCATTTTTGTGCATTTCTGGGATGTTTTTTTAAGTGAAAATAGGTCGACATGCACATGGATGATACCGTGTATGTGCAATTCTTAAAAACGCGGCAAGCAGTAGGCGATTCTGCACTTTGTCCCAATTTCGCACTTATCTTCGTCATGATTAAGCACTTTTGTTCCATAAAAGTTCTAGCATAAGCGTTATTCGGCTAGCAGATTGTTGGAAAAAAATGTTGATTAAAAAAAAAAATGCCTTTACTTCGTGAAAACAAAATGGAGTCCAAACAAAAACTAGCAGGTTGCTGTAGCAAGGTTGGTCACCAAATTTTCGCCAAAAAATTCCAAGTTACCATAATCCAAAGATTAACTGAAACTTTGCCTGAAATTCGAAAATTAGTTATTAATTTGCATATTGAATGTAGAAATCTATTAGAGAAACTGCTGAAACAGTTAACTTGAGTCATTCAACAGTTTTCAATATCATTAACCCTTTAACTGTCAAGTTATTTTGATGATTTGGGTACACAAATTGTCAAATTTTTTTATTGCAAAAACCAAATGTTTAGTACAAAATAAAATATACTTAAGTAGTTAAAAATTGATATTTTTGACAACATGGGTAAATTTTTTAAAGTTTTTTGTAGCCACTGCCTATTTTCTTTCAGGCAGCTGTCACTCAACATGGCAGTTGCAAAGTTCGCTTCTAGTGGAGCATTATTTTCTAAAAATGAAAAAAAAATTAACTATTTTCTAAAACATAAATAATATAAGTGAATACCTATTAGTATTTCAGTAATTCAGTCTTATGTGGTACAACTGGAAACACTTTTCCAAGCACAAACCAACTCCACAATCCTACCCAGAATCGTGATTCCTTCCTTATCTTTTCCCCATTTTTATCCTTTTTCGAACAACACACTTTGCACTATCTTGTAGGCTCACGTTTCGCAGGAATAGGAGGAAATGGGATATAAATGTCGTTCAGTAAGACGGGCAGGGTTATCTATGTAGGTGGTCTGCCAACATTCTTTTGTCCAGAAGCTGCATCATCATATTTATGTAAAAGCTCTTCTACAACTGGATTCGAAATTCTAAAAATGTAATACATTTCCCAACTACATTTTATAGAGCAAATATGAGTTCCAGAGTACCTTGTCTAGTAAATGTTAAAGTATCTTTTTATAATATTTTATCTGATGTTTTCGGATTGTTGGATGAAAGGATATTTCCTGATCACAGCGATCTACACCCATAGTTAGACTGTAATTAGAAACAATCTTTGGCTTGAGTATATCTCCATTTTTTATTTTTGAGGCTCACCATGGAAGTATCATGAATACTGCTCATCAAACACACATCCTTCATCTTCGGTTGAAGAACCTAAATCATCTATATAACGTTTCATAGAACTGGACGCTATTTTACAACAAAAAGATCCCATGCACCTTGAACCAAATAACCTCTAACCTTTGAAATCTTCAGTAAAGTGCTGTCATCTATTGAACTGAGCGCACATTAATTTTTCCCGAGATACAGTCGGGTTTGACAAAGAGATGAAGCCGAAATAAACGTCTTCCGATATATATTTGGGTATAACAATACGATGCACTCAAAAAAAAATTACCCCGAGTAATACTCGGGCGTGACATTTTCGAACACTAGTGCTGTGCCTGAGATTATCTCGGGCATGACAGTTAAAAGGTTAAACGATATAAAAAGAATCATATGATTCAGGATAAAAGAAGACCTGACCGACCATCAAAGCTATCCAATGGAACAAAGCAAATTATCTTTCGGAAATATTAAAAAAAAACTCCAAGAATGAGTGCTCCTAAAGTTGCTGTCTGATTTACAAGCATTATATGGAGTAATTGTTAATCCTGAGACTATTTGAAGAGTAATTCGATCTGCTGGATATATTCCTGTAGAGCAGCCAGGAAAAAATTCTTCGTAAGTGAAAAGAATAGAAAGCTCCGACTGGCTTTCACAAAATCCAACATAAATAAGAATTCTGATTACTTGAATGAAGTTATATTTGCTGATGAGAGTAAATTTAATATATTTGGTTCTGACGGTAGAATCTTGATGTGGAGAAAACCCAGGGAAGAATTTTGCAAACAGAACTTGGTGCCAACAGTAAAACATGGTGAAGGAGGAGTATGGTATGGGGGTGTATGTCGTCCGCTGGAGTTGGTAATCTGTTGTTTATTGACAGTATAATGGATCAGGCACAAGTATGTTGAACATTTTAAATCAAAATTTGAAATCTTCAGGCACGAAAATTGAACCATCATAACGATTTTAAATTCTACCAGGACAATGACTCCAAGCACACTGTTTTGAACGTTAGACTCTGGCTGCTGTATAACTGTCCTGAAATAATAAAAACACCACCACAATCTCCAGACTTAAATCCCATAGAGTATATTTGGCAAAAATTGGAATCAAGAATTCGCAAACACACCATTTCTTCAAAACAACAATTAAAATCAGTGCTTCAAGAAGAATGGGGTAAAATCACTCCCCAAAAAAATTAGTCGAATCCATCCCAAGAAGATTAAATCATGTTTTAAAAGTAAAAGGAAATCCAACAAAATATTAAAACCTTTTAAAACGTAAAATTTTTGGATAAATATTTGATGGAAAAGTAAGTGTCCCATCACTTATGCGAGCCATTTTTTGCTCCGTTCTAAACAATTGTATTTTTATTAAATTAATATTTTAATATTTTGAGAAAATGTATGTTATGTAATAATTGTTACTAAATTTAAGTATGAAACACGTCCACAAAAAATTTTTACATGTTCTTTTATTTTATTTTACTACAGTTTCCTTTTGTAAAGCATAAGTGTCCCATCACTTTTGTGAGACACTGTAAATGAAACACAGCACAAGATAGTGTAAATAAATGTCTTTTTGCTATTCAGATCAAAAGCAATTTTTCACCATGATCTATGATCTCAACATCTTTCAACATGATCTATTTTCTTTAATTTTTGTTTCATAATCAATTTCATTCGCTTCATAACAATAGCCAATTTAGCAGTTTTTGCTTTTCACAATCACGGACATCGTCATACTTGGCACACAGTATGCAATAGCCAAATCCCAGATACACATGACATCTTCATACTTTTCAGCAATCTTTTACATCTCCACGGTGATACTAAAAATTTTCATCATTGCTCAAATCTTCTCATTAACTTTCCTAAAAGTCACTGTCAATGAATTAACAAAAATTTACAATAAAATTACTTGAAAATTCAGTATTACAGTGCAGGATGTTTATTGAATAGTAGCAATAGGCATGTAGATGCTCATGGGCAGTCACAACATTGTCTAGAAAATGCTAAACAAGTGTACTGCATACAGCCATGGCTCACTGAATTCAAATTATACTCCATACAAAAGTTTTCAGATCAATCCATATACCATGCTGAATATATTGTGAAGCGTAACTATACTGAGACAACATTATACTCAATACAAATTCATGCACAAAAAATTCTGCAACACACAGTAAAAACTTGACTTTCTGGCATCCAATTAACCAGACAGTTGAAGTAATTAAAACATCGGTACGCTTTAAAAACTTTTTCTAATTAAAAAAAATTAAGCAAATGAGAGAATTATGAAACATTATAAAATAC